GTTACATACTATGGCTTTAAAATAAGTACCAGTCTGTAAAAAAAAAAATCAGATTCAAATTTGAACAGATTTGCTTGCTTGCTCATCTGCTTGCTTCTATGGATACATCACTGCTGTGCCTGGAATGTTCCGCAGTGAGACATTTAACAGCTCTACCGCACATTTATTCACTTATAGGAGGTTTTATAGCTCAAAAATACCTAGAAAAACAGGCATCTGAGCAGGGTGGCCTTACCACAGATCTGACCTGTAACTTTGTCTGGTCATACTGTGAAATATTCCAGACAAAGTACTAACATCTCCATGGAGAAAAGTATTTAATGGGCCCTCTACCATAAAAGTTACACAATGCACACTTAAAGTTAAACATGCTGACCATATCATCTAAAATGACTGTTAAGTCACATGATAGTACTTTTTAATTGTAGACAATGTTTTGAAGTAACAGTACTGCCTCACACCTGTAACCACAACACGGAGAAACCTATTTACTTTCAAAGCCACTGGAAATGAGCACATCTGTCAAACTCTTGTCTGTATCCCTACTGCATCCTGCTACAAATCTTACATCGCTAAATCACCACGATAACAACAAGGCCGTCATTACGGCGGGAAGGCAACAACTGTTCTGGCCCATACTCACATACCTCTCGCCTTCGCCCTTGCCTTGAGCTACCATCCTAACCACTTCATCTGACAACATTTGGGTTTCCTCATTCGTGTCTTGGAGTCATCTTTCAGCACCTGTCCAATCTACACATCTGCATGTCGGTAAAGAGGCTGTAATACAGAGGAGGGACACGTCTCAGATCCTGACGGCTCAATTCCGCTCTGGTCCGCTGTCTCCGCTCGCTCAGGGATTTCTGTCAACTGCCATGATAAGTGAACTCCGGTGTGAGACAGTGCTTATTAAAGAAAATATTTAACGCTAAAGATGGAAAATATAGGCCAACTTAAAGTCACTGTACCAGATTTATACTGTCTTAAAACGGTAACAAACTGCAACTAGTTCATTTTAAACCTAGTCCAGTTTATTCCTCACTTATATTATGCATTCCAAGGTTTTGCTGCTTGGGCAACCGATGGATTACACAGACCTCTGAGTGTCTTAATTATTCACTGTAATGAGTTTGTATACACTTTCACAATTTTAATAGGTTAAGTTAAGTAAGTTAAGGTATTCCCAATGAAGCCTAGCTGAGCATCTGGAGATAGGTATCCTGGTGATGCATCCTGGCACCTACTGCTCCTGACATGTTTGTCTCAATGGCATTGAAGGCAGATCAAATGCAAAGGACCCTATAAGGACAAAAGGCTAACCTCTCAGTCTCTGACAAGGGAGTTTAAATGGACAGTTTCTGTTAAGCTAAAATATTATCCTCAGAAGATTCAAAGATCATCTTCTTCTGTTGAATGATTAGAGACAGTATAATTACTCCTAAAAAAGCTGAACGTAGGAATCTTCTATCAGCTGCCAATGAAATCTTCCCTGGCCTGAAGCAGATGCATGAACTAATGGATTGGAACAGTATTCAAATGTATTAATGTTTTGAAAGCTACCTAGAGTTTTCTAAACCCCAATCAAACAATCAATCAAATACACATCCGATATCTTAAACAAACACTCCTTTACAAAGATTTTTTTTAAGAGTCTCAGTTGAAAATGGACTTGAATCATTGATCTTGCGATGTGGTGCTGAACTGCAGTCACCCAGTACTCCTTAGAGGTTGACCTAGTCATTTTCCTATCACGGATGGCATCCTAACCTTAACAGCACCAAGCTTGATGATTTGCCATTCTGTGTGTTTTACATAAAGTAGACTGGAGAAACCAGGGCAACAGGGAAATATCTTCACTGTTTGGATCGAGAGACCAAAACGTGGTCTGGTTTCACACAGAGACTCACGATGGTGTTGGGTATGTCCATTTGGAGTGAACATGGACACATTTTGCCTGCACTCACAATAGTCTTCTCCGGTCTTTTTCTGGCATGGCTGCACTGCTTCCGTCACTGCAGCAGAATGATAAATAAACTATAAACATGCATCTTGTATTATTTATGATCTTTGTTACAAGAAAGAGAGAAATCTCAGTGGAGTGGACTAAATGGGACATCTGGATGGAAGGCTGCAAGTACTTCCAAGCACATGACACGTTTTAAATATCTCTCACTTTGGGGATTTTATAATGCAAGGATTATTCCTTTGGATTTAAGTTTTTCTTGCATGTACCAAAGGTTTGTTTGTCCACTCTACTGCATAAAGAAAATAAGAGAAGCTAAGAGTCTTTGATCATGAACATTCTTTAATGATGAACATTCTTTCCGTTTATGTTAAGTATACCAGACAATGTCAGGTTAAACAGGTTACAAACCAAAAACCTACCCCTGAACAAAACGATCAGTATCTTATGTTGTGCAGTGAAAATTTTAAATTACTATTTGAGACAGACTGATAACTGATTTGTGGATATATTGGGCCGATATGTGCTCTTTTTAGTGTCTCAGGTATCGACCTTAAGTCTCTAACATAACAATATGTTGTCTCGGTCTCGGTTGACCACTTGACTAAGCTCTTTAGCTTCATTTGGACACATGAGGGCCCTGCTCAAAATGTGACTGCTCCGCTCTTATAGATCTGCAGTGAAATAAGTTTGTGGATAAGTTTGTTGCAATTTAAAAACTTCTAATTTGGGAAGAAATGATCAAAATACCCCATATATATATCGGTTCAAAAATAACCACAGAGCTTATTGCTCATCAATTCTCTGGATTCTAAACCATCTGCATCTGCAGTTACAATTTCAACATTTTTGCATGGGATTGTTTTCCCTGGAATGTTCCACAATATGGAATTAAACTTATATAGTATCTCTATGAAGACAAGCAGTGGCCGCTACCAGGCTGATCACACCTGTTTCTGGTGGAGAGTCTGCTATTTGCTATCTCCATGGAGATATTGCTTGCCAGGAAAGTTCCATTACAGCAGCGAGCATTTAATCAATTATATTTGTTTTTACTACTAAAATACCATCCAAAATATGCATTTGTACTGTGAAACTTTTATAAAGCTCGCTTAAGCACTATGCATTGTGTAGGCACTCTCTACATCTATACCCGTCCCTCCCTCTCCATCCTGCATGTCACTGTCAAAGTCACTGATTATTAGCTCATGTTTGAGTAAATCTCATTCACGAGTCACTCTGCAGGCTCCTTTTATGGTGAAGTCGAGGTGTAGAGAAGGTGTGTAAGTTTACGTGCACAGATTCCAGCTAAAGGTGAGATCTGTAAATCACAGATCGCAGGTGGAGTGCACACGGAGGGTTTTATAAATTTGGAGTTTGCGTGCTGCCTGTCTCTCATGGCCACAAGGAGTATGCACTTGCTTAAGAAAATTCTTGAGGCAGTCCTTTATAAATGAGGCCCCAGATCTGTAACTTGACCTGCTGGCTGGAAATAGATAATATAATAATATCTCCATGTAGACAAGCGAGTGGCAGACACCCACACCAGAAAAGTTGCACGCTACACTTTTAAGCTTAATCAAAAGGGGAAATCCATTAGCTGCACAGTGATGTAAGCCTGCAGACCAGCTAATGCGTGTGTCTGAAGTTATGTAAGTATTGGGAGACTTTTGGGGTCGGACACGCAGTTTGCGTCATAGCTTCCTCCCGATGACGCTAACACAATACAGTCTTATCTCTGTATGCTCACTCTGTGATTGGGTTAGCTGGATCATGAGCCTTCACATTTTACACGCTTCCGGCTACTTCTACCTACTTTGTGAATATTTCTGAGTAAAACAGGAGGCATCTGCTCCTGAATCATCCTGACAGTGCATACAGCGCACAGGGACTGGAGCTGCTATATCTAGAGCCCAACTAAGCCAAGCAAAACTAAGACATTTCCAAACCATCTGCTGAACGATAATGAGGGGAAAAGATGTTTCTTATCATCTGGTTTTGTGTCTATTTAAAGGTGCTGTGCATTGGTCCAAAGTTATTCCTCATTTACCTTATGCATTCTGAGAATTGTAATGATTTACAGTGAGTTTAAAATAAGTTTATATAACTTTAACTCTCACAGACCAAAGCATAGATTTGTCGTGACAGTAAAGCATGCCCATACGCACTTTCAGAACATCCAACAAAACAAAAGATTTTGAATTAGATGCAGACACTACATAACTGATATATTTTGACCTGAAGAGCTGCTTATACAATATATCTGTGCTGGGGCAAGATATTTTGTTCAAATACATGGGAGAAAATCAGCTACAGGGCGTTTAAGAACATTTTTATGACAAATGGTGGAATCACCAGGTTTATATGATGACTTTTCCAGGTGTAAAATATATCCAAATAGTCAGACTAAACTGAGTTGATCCAACAGGTATAATCTCACTATCTGGATGCATTTCACACCTGGATGTCTTCATAAAATTTGTCATAGATTTGAATCAGAGTCTGGTTGTGGGAGGAATGCCTCATCACCCATAAAACTTAACAACTCAAACAACTTAAATTGGACCTATTATGCAAAATCACCTTTTCAGAACTTTGAACTAAATGGGTGAAATGTTTTTAGTGTTATCTTAATCTAAGTATTATTTACAATAAACATGATTGTGCTTCCTGTGTTTATAACCAGCCTTCTGTTCATTAAATGCATTTATCTGAACTATTACACCACAGAATTATAATATAACAATAACAAAACAATAACACAGTTTGACTTCTGTCTAAACTAGAAGTGCAGTGCTCTAATCTTTTGAACACTTTACTAGTCATTTTACTCTAGACAGGAGACAGCAGACGTGAGGTGCACTTTTGATAGTTCACCAGTCCTTGAGCCAGGAGGATTGTAAGATTTAAAATTTCATACAATTCTTCTCGTGTGTGGTCTTCACTTTTTGTCACATGTTTAATTCATTTAAGACTGAAAAATACTGTAGTGTGTGGCAGGTTTTACAGAGAAATATGGTTCACATTTTTATAAGAACACATTTATTAAATTATCCAAAAGAATCCATCAGCTTGAGCTACAATCAGTGACACATTTGTACAAAAATATTATATCAAAACAAAACATTATCATTTTATTCATACAGTTTAGTAATGGAGTAAACTAGGCATGCTCCTGTACACGTCACATATTTACACTCAGATGTGTTTCAGATGTGTTTAAATCCTACAATAATGATCACAAAAAAGAAATTGTATCCCGCTTTAAAACTGTCAACGTACTGAAGGTATGTTTTTCAAGATGGAACATTATGCCATGTTACCACAAGCTCAAAAGTCATTTTAACATAACAGGATATTAAAGGTCCTATATTATGGAAAAATGTCACACCTAGAGTCGTGTTTTTTTTTTTTTGTTTTTTTTTTGTTAAAGGTGCATTGTGTAGCTTTTCTGGTGGAGGCTCAGTCAAATACTTGTTATGTTATAGCTTCATCTGGAATGGTTTACAGTGTGGTATTAAACCTTTGTATTTTCTATGGAGACCAGACCAACTTACACATCAGATCTGTGAAGAGGCCACCCCGCTAACAGTCTTTGCCTGTTTTTCTAGGTGTTTTTGAGCTATACATCTACCTGTAATTTAATACATGTAGGGTAGAGCTATTTAATGTCATACTATGGAACATTCCAGGCAGAGCATTGACATATCCATGGAAACAAGCAGGTAACAGACCCCCAACCAAAAAGTTACATCATCTTTAACAGCTACATTTACCTTTTTGTTCAGTAGAGAGAAGGTGTATGGAGCACTTCCTGTATTACCACATGACATCACAAGGTTGAACAGTGTTTTCTGCTTAAATATGCCAGGTTTATGTGTTAAACCTGTGTGAATGAAACAGATCACAACTCCAGGTATGTTTTTGCAGAGGAGACAACATTATAACAGATCAGAAAATAGCACAGTACAGGCTCTTTAAGCAAGTGTGAAAGAAACAAAATCAATGTTTTTCAAGATAGAACATTATAACACACAAGTTTAAAAAAGTAAATTTAACATAACATGACATTAAATAAAAAAGAAAACAACATTTCCAACATTGAAATTGTGCTATGGACAGCTGAAACATATTTGAATAGTACCCAAACAAAGTCATTAGCTTAACGTCGTATCTCCTCCGCCTTCACGTGGTGCCTTCTGTTTCTGTTCTTTTTCATCTCCTGCATGTGCTTCCACTTACTTGCCCCTACACCTCTCCCTTTGGCCCGGGCCGGCCTCTTCTCCAGCCACAGCGAGTCGCAGTACTCCTCCAGCGAGCCGTAGGGGGCGCTCATCACCCGGAGGTAGTCCTTGTAGCGCTGCTTGGATTCAGCTTTGAGGTGGGTTTCGTCGGTGGGCTTGGAGGCCATCTGTGCGTGTGTTACGAGCTGGAGTTTGATTCGGAGGAGGGTGTAGGTGAAGTGGGAGTGCTCTTGGGCAAGGCACGTGTAGGATCCGGCGTCTGAGGACCGGACGGAACGGATCAGGAGGCCTCGGGTGGTGAAGAGCATGCGGTCGTCTGGTTTGATCTGGTGGAGAAAACAAGAAGTTTATTCTGGGAAAAAAGAAATAGCAACATTTTGACTGCACATAATTGTTGAATTAAAAAGTCCTGGTACGCTGTAAAAAGAAAATCAAGTTTAGTAATAATATCTGAAAATATTCATATTTATTTGAGTACTTTTGATTCACAGTTCACTTACAAGCCCTACATTTGATTTACTGTAAGAAAGGCAAGGTTATTTGCACATTTTGTACAAGTAATTAAAAGTTTGTGACAAAATATTAGATTTGTTAATTTTACAATACAAACAAATAAAAACATAATCACAACAATATCCACTATAAAAGAAGAGTGCAGATAAAAACCTTTCATTCATAATAATATATATTTATATAATATATAATATATGTAAAAAGGTCAACTGCATGATTCTGGTAGATTCTTTTTCAAATCTGAAAATGTCCCTGAATTGTACGTTATTCTGAAATGTCAATTTATCTAGGTTGCATAATAGAATCATCCATAATTCATTTTTACTGTGCAAGTCTTGTGTGTCCTCATCATGAGACCACTTAACAAAATTAGATTATTAGATTAGATAATACTTGTTTTTGCAATGAAATAAGCAGCTCTGTCACACAGAAACAATACAAGAACATGACACAGACACATAAACACAGATAGTTATGTCATAAACATGAATAAAACTGATCCCTTTGTAGGACCAAATCTTCAGTCTTTGGATTTAAGTCCAAGTCCCAAAATCAGTCACAAGTCTTTTTACAAAATTACTGAATACAGTTTCTTCTTTTGCAATTTGTATGATTTTTGTAGATGCACCTTAAAAAAGTACTGAGTAGGAATGGGAATGTCCTTTTTTTGAGGAGAAGCAAAGAGTCATTTCCAATCACAGGGTTCCAAGTCAAAGTAAGTTTCGATTCACAATAAATGAAGCCCCACGTCAGTCCATTTTATCAAGTCAAGTCTCAAGGGATTTAAATAGAGGCAAACTGAGTCCAAGTCACGACTTCAAATTCACACAACAGTTTCTCCCTCCAAAATCTGAACTGTGCTCCAGACCACGTTTTACTGACAGAGGATTGGCTGATTTTCTTGAAAGCATTGTCAAATTTCTTTTTTTTTTTTAAATCAATTTTTATCATGATTCATTAAAAGTAAATGAAATCAACCTCTTCTTCTGAAAGTTCACACTTCACTCTGATAAATCCAGCTGTCACTCACTCAGAGCCTTTCAGAGACTAACCATACGAGTAATATCTGTGTTTGAGCCAACACTTAAAATAAATATGGCAATGTGACCGAAAAAGCATTGTGCCATTTTTATAACTATGTATAGTCCAGCCAAGCAACTCCCATCTATAGAATATTCTGATTTCAAATTTCAAAATAAAAGACTATAATCCCACATTTTCCCCTCCTTTCACTGCACTTGTCCCAAACCTGCCCTTGCCAGCTCGCACCCCCCACCGCGCTGTTGAGCCACATGAAGTTCACGCCCGAGTTAGCACCAAGGTGAGTTAAACATGTTAATGACCCCTGAAGCAGGAAGCACGTTCAAATGTTAGCGCTGAGTGTCGCCCGCCACGCTGGGGTCAAGAGGTCGTGAATGTGGCGGGTGTTAGACAAAGGAAAGCCAATGCGTGGTAGAGCTAGCGTGCATGTGTGTGTGTCAGCATGTAGCGTAGCGTGCTAATGGCTAATGGCGTCCGGTGTGATTGGTCAGGTGGCACGGGCCTAAACCAACACAGCTGCAGGAGAACAGTGTGTGGGCCAGAACATGTGCTTCAGTCACATAGCTCCAGCGTTTATTCTGAACCCTGTCCAAAGGAGATAAGAAGGTTGGTAAAAGCAAATTTGCTATGTCTTAAAAGATATTTTTTATTGTTTAAAAGTTGTTTAAAAGTCTCTATTCCACACAATTGACTCCTGTGAGTGTTTAGTCATGTTATAATAATGTTATCTCCCCAAAACATACCCAGAGTTGTGTTTTCTTTCATTTGCACATGTTTGAGTAACCAGTGGCGTAGTGGGGATTTTTCAAGATTTGCGACGTCATCAATGTGATGATTCCCACCCACCTATCTACCTTTAAAAAAACTTTCAGTACAAACATAAATGCCCCAGACCAGTAAAAATCAGTAATATTTGATGTTTTTTACTCAAAATGATGTGGAATCATGTTATTAACATAGCGCCGTTCATAATCACCTACAGAACATAAATCATATGCCCAGGACTAAACTAGGACTAAACCAGAACTGAACCAGGACTAAACCATGTCTAAACCAGGTCTAAACCAGGTCTAAACCAGGACTAAACAAGGACTAAACAAGGACTAATCCATGACTAATCTTGAACTTGAGAGCGAGAGAGCCCGTGGTCGGGTAACTGCTGCACTTTGCCCCGTGGGGCGCTGAGCTCTGCACTGGTCCCTTCTCCTGTGGTTACCCGACGGTCTAAGCAGGCACACCTCCAGGCCAGTTCAGACACCCAGTCCCGGTTCAGTTCTGGTTTAGTCCTGGTTTAGTCCTGTTTTAGTCCAGTTTTAGTCCTAGTTCAGTCCTGGTTTAGTCCTCCTGGTTCAGTCCTGGCCCCTCCATGTCGCAGGTCACTATAGGACAGTATTCCAAATATCATGAGCCTATGCACGTTGTTTTCACCATTGCCAATAGCTCTGGTTTGACATTTAAGCTGTAGGCAATTTTATATTTGTTATTTTTTTATATCTCACACTGGGAGAAGTAGGTGGACGGCCACCACCACACCCACTACACCCCCGTACTAACCCTTTATTATTAGTGTGTACATCTCCAAAGCTCAAATTGCTCTGTTCCACCTTGTGATGTCATGTAGTGGAGGTTTTCAAGTTAACAGCAAATTTTACCTTGAGTTCTGTAGAGACTGGTAATTATATGACTAAAATGATCCAAATGATTCTAGTAAAGGTGTGCGGAGTTTAAAACACAACAGACCACTTCCTGTATTACTACATGACATCAGTAAGTGGAATAGAGAACTTTGAATTAATGTGCAGGATTTGTGTGTTAAACATGTGTGAATGAAACAAAACATAACTCCAGATATGTTTGTGATGAGACATTATAACATAGATCAGAAAATAGTGTAATATGAGCTCTTTAATGGTAATGACATGACTTTGGTCCAACTGTTTCCTTGGTAAACTACAGCCTTTTAAACTAGCAAAAACCAAACTGATTGAATAAGTGCCTTGTGTGTATTTTTGTGATACTGTATTTACAAATGTAAGGAAGCTCACTGGACGCAAATTAGACAAAGACAGTTACACCACATCTTTAAAGAGTGACGCAAGAAATTTCAGTGTTCTGACAGTGATGATGTGATGTCTGCACTTAACAGAGCCGCTCTCAACTTAACCTCAACCCTTCTCACCTCACGCCACATGCAGCCGATTCAACCAAAGTAGCCTATTTATTAAAAACATTAAATCACCACGGCAACATGTCTGTATTTAATAGCTGCTTGTGCTCACTGAGTGTCTCTGGGCCATCTGAAGCTAAGGTAACGACACAGCAATGGCAGACGTGTAAAGTGGACCAGATGGGCTGACTTCATTTGTTCAGGCTTATTATTAAGTGCACAGGGTAGCTTTAAAGGTGCACTGTGTAACTTCTCGGTTAGGGTGCGTCACCTTATTGTTTCTATTGATATGTCATTGTTCTGCTTAGAAAGTACCACAGTATGACATTAAACCAATCTACCATGCATTTATTTAATTACAGGTGTTTTTATTGCTCAAAATATTTAGAAAATCTTTCATTCTGACTGTGATCGGAGTTGCCTCTCCACAGATCTGACCTGTAACTTGGTCTGGTTTGGTCTCCATGAAGATAGAAAGATTTAGTACCATATTGTGAACAATTCCAGACAACACAATAACATCTCCAGAAAAGTACCTTTGAAGTGCATATTCATGTTTTTCTAATTAGAACTTGGTTTGGTGGGATAGTACCTGTGGTAAATATTTAGCATAGTTTTACATCATTCAAGAGGCAGTTTTGAGTAAAAAAATGTTTAAAAGAAAAGTACAAAAACACAGGAAGAGCACTGAGTTCTCAAATGGAGTAACTCTATTTATGTGATCAGCACAGGAAATTCCATCTGAAATGCAGGGACAATTTCTGAAGGCTTTTTTCAGTTTAAACCTTCACTTAACAAAATAAAGGTGCTGTCATTTACTTTAGTTAGTCTAATCACAACTATTGTGCAATTTAGTTTTTATTTAGCCCTTATTATAGTTGAGTAACAGTTACCCAGGAGTTATCAGGAGGTAAAATTATAATCTTTATCAAAACGTAAAAACAAACTACAGGACTCTGGGCAAGATTTGAAAATTAAATCTTATTATGTTAACTCTGTTTAAATGAAGTGAGCAGTCTAACCATATGTACTTTAAAGAGGGGCTATTATACTTCTATTGGCATTAACATATTTACAGATCATCATGTGAAATGAAAATAATATATTTGCCGAAATACATATACATTTTTTTTGATAAGTTTCAGTTTAATTGATGATGCTTTAAATCCCCCCCTCCCTTTGCTCCCTACTCACTCCCCCTTCAAAGCGTCCGACTAATGAAAGTACTGCACATCGCATCAGGTTTGTAACGCTGTAGGGCATTGTTTTGTATCCTGCTTTTGTATATTTATATATTAAAAAAAGGACCGTAAGGACCAGGAAAGATCGCTAAATTACTCAAGCATGCACAGATGACATATAAAACCACTTCAGGTATATTTTTGATGAGGGAACAAAGTTATAATATTGCAGAATGCTCCAAAAAGTACACTTTGCATAATACCCCTTTAAGATATTTGTGTGAAGTGGTCCAGATGGTCTGACTTCATTTGTTCAGGGAACAAACAGCTTTAAGTGTCTTCGTCTGCAGGTGCACGGACAACTGACTCACCCTTTAATGAGTGGTCCACCTCCATTAAACAGACCAGTACGTAAAATAATTGT